AAATTAATTGTTTTTCTTGCGAAACAACACTGCCAGTTTTGCCATGTTTTATCATCAAACTTTCAATAGTGAAGTATTCATGACAAATATAATTACACACATTATATTGTACATCGATTGAATGTAAGTTATCAAATATGGAATGATACTAAATATCATGAACTTATTAAAATTACTACGGTATTGGATATATCTACTGGTAACCAGTCGTCATGGGAAAATTAAATAATTTTAGTATGGTGAATATTACTTTAAGTCGTCATTGATAACATTAAAGATATGGATATATAAATTATGCCTTTGTCCATATTTAGATTATCTAAACCATTTGAGTTCAAACTAATTTAAAAAAAAATACTTTTCAGTGATATGGAAGTACAGACGTCACATTCCAGAAAAACAACATATACCTTGGAATCAAATTCAGAATCCTCTGAAAATGAGGACTTGACAGATTCATACTCTGACCCTGAAACGCCTGAAAGCAGTGATGGGTATGAAGAAACCAAACAATCATGGATTCATGTTCAGAAAGACATTATTGAAAATGGGAAATGGTATTTCTCTTATGACAGTACCTTGTATACTTCTGGAGTAGCTATGAAACAGATACCTGGATCTGACCTGACTGTTTTACAGTGGATTGCTATGAATTTGAGTGTTTTTACATCACATCCGGGTATGAGTAAGGAAGCATTTAGTAATACGTTAAAAGTACAAAAGAGGCTTGTGTCAAATTGTGAGTATCTTCCATCTTCATATCGTGAGGCGACAGCAATGGTAAAGGATTACACTATAGATAAAGTTACTTTCCATGTCTGTCCAAATGATTGCATCGTGTACAGAAACAGTGACAAATACAAATATGCACACCTTACAAAGTGTCCTACCTGTTCTGAAAATAGGTACAAGAATGAAAAGAACAAAATACCTAGGAGAACATTTCATTATATTCCTATTGGACAAAGGTTAGCTCGGATCTATGGGGAGGAAAATTTATGCAAAATAGTTCAAAGCCATCCAGGTTCAACAAATGAAGTGCTTCAGAAAAACAACCAAATGTGGGATATTCATGACTCTCCTAAGTGGAAGGAAGTATATGCAGAAAGTGGCTACTTCAGAGGTGATAAATTGGGACTATCTTTTGCACTTGAGGTTGACGGAGTTAATCCGTATCATAACATTGGTGTAATTTATTCCATGACCCCAATGATGATGACAATTTTGAACCTGCCACGACAAGTGCGGAACTGCTTCAAGAATATCATGCTGGTAGGAATCATCAAGGGGAAGAAAAACCATTCTGATTCCAATATTGATGCTTATGTGGAAATACTTGTAGACGAATTACTCTCCCTAACTGGTTGCACAATGTATTCTGCTTACAGTAAAGCTCCAGTGGATGTCAAGTTAAAGCTATTACTTTATGTGTTGGACTATCCAGGATTATCAAAGCTATTCCACCAACATGGCAGTGGAAGCTTACTCGGATGTCATTGGTGTAATGTGAACGGTTTTCACTGTGCTCAATTGCAGAAGGTTGTTTACCTGAATAATCGGTCATATTTACAGAAAGACAATCCTATCAGATTTGATGTCACAAACTTTTGTGAAAAGAAAGTAGATAACACTTGCAAGCCTGAGCTACGTTCGATTGAGAAGGAGAAGGAATATAGAAAAGCATTTGAAAGTGCTCAAAATAAAACCCAAGCAAAAGCTGTATCAAAGGCAACTGGTTGCAAAGGCAAATACCCTTTACAAAAACTAACGGATCACAACAGACTAGAGGAATGTGTTCCTGATGCATGTCACACCATCAAAGATGTAATACAGAACATAATTCATCTTATTAGCCATAAAAATGTGAACAAAGAGAAGTTAGCAAGTGCTGAGCAACACTATGAACGTTTTTCAAATTTTACTGGTACCCCACTGGATCAACATAATCAGTCATCAAAAACTTCAGCCAAGAAGAGAAAGCGAAAGTCAACTGGACAATCTGCAAATGAAGTCGAAAATGAAAGTAAACAGGAAACAGATAGAGCTGAATTTCCCTTTTTCTGTCTGATGAAGAAATAAAGATAGCTAATGATCGTGCGTTATCACTAACTCTGCCAGAAGGATTTGGTTTAGTATCTGCAGCTTTCTTTTCAAAGACTTTTAGTTTAAAATCGCATGACTGGAAGCAACTCGCATCTCAGGGAATATTGAAGTTTTGCCTCAGGGAGTTACTGGGAACAAACCAAAGAAGGACATTATTCATGTTGTTGGATTGTTTTGCAAGTATGTGCAGTGAAAATCAGTGTTTTGATGACCTGGACAAGATTGAAGAGGAACTGAATATTGCTCTTGCATGCTTGGAACGAGACTTTCCGATTGCTTTACAAAATATCACAACACACATATTACATCATGTCATAAAATATTAGAGCATTCGGTCCAGTCTATGGGACATGGATGTATGTGTTCGAGAGATTCAATAGCTGGATTTGCAAAAGAACTCTTAATATGTGTCATCCGGAGGCTAGTGCCATTGAAACCTACCTTCTGTATGACTGTTGCCAGTTTATGATATCCACTGGTCGTATTGACATGGACTCCAATCTTGAATCAGCTTTATATCAAGAACTTGAAGATGTTGAAAGTGCTAATCATGAATCAGAAAGAAGCATTTCTGAGAAAAACAAAATAACTTTAGGACAACGAAAATTGAGGGTTGTACATAAGCAATGTACACATGAATGTGCCAAAGACAGTTGTACTGTGGGGAAAATTTCAAAGTCTGTTAATGTCAACCATTCAAAGTTTAACAGAAAGGTGAAATACTGTTGCATGTCATGTGAACAACATACCGGCAATCGAAAAACTGTTTCCTCTTATGTGTGTGTAGAAAATGACAGAGGTAATCCTAGCCACAAATTAATCAATAACAAATTTGCAGCTTTTGGAAGGATACAGTATTTTATGGAACATATTAATGACAAAAATGAAAGTGACACTATAGCATGTGTTGAAATGTTCCAAGATACAGAATATGACGTTGAGAGTGGTTTGTGGTTTATCTCCTCAGATAATCATGTAAGAAATCAGTATGTCCATGTAAATTCATTGTCATTACCATTAGTTACAGGCCATGATTTAACAGATGGCTCAATCTGGTTATGTAACTACAGAGGGAAAAGAAAGTGAAATAATGAAAAGCAAAAGATGGACACAGACCCTTCCTTAAAATCGGTTTTGATGCCTTATTATACTGTCCGAACCTACCCATGTTTACCCTATACATGTACATGTTAAAATCTACCATGACTGCTGGTCATTATCAGAGACTTATAAGAGCTGTTTCTCACTGCACTATCGCTTGTTCCGGAATCCATAGTTTCCCGTTAAATGTGTCGCTAACAAAGAAAATGCAGAGTGGTATTGTTGACGCCAATGTTTTTGCTACCGTATACGTATATATATATATATATATAGATGATAGAAACCTTAGTGTCATGTGATGTACAATATGTACTTACCACTCTTATTGCAGTGTGTTGAGGGCACTATATATTGTGGCATAGTGTTGTCTCAGGAAGATATATATATAATAGAGCCCTCGCCTCCGGCTCTGGCACTGTTACCATCCTTCCACAACACTATGACACCATAGTGCCCTCAACACACTGCAATAAAAGCTATGCATATTATGCATTACAATTTATGCATTACATGATGCATTATATTATTCAATAACAATATTAAAATTAAAAACAATTGAAGAAAAGTTTCAGTCTTTGTTCAGTTCTTATTTCAAATTTAGTTTGCACTGCATGGATATAATAATTACAATTAACCTTTACAAAAAGTAGTCCTAATATATCCCTACTTGTGAAAATATCTTTCTGTATATATCTGCACTACAATGAAAATACGAGTTTTTATCGAATTGATAATTTCTTATATTTTACTGGTGAAAATGTAATACAATGTTGCGGCAGGTTTAATGGCCATTAAAATCGTAATGCTGCAGGTTAAATGGCCATTAAAATCGTTGTCAATGATTAAAAAAAAATAGTGACCATGCATGTGAAAAATCTTCACATTCATGGCCATTAAATGAGAAGAAAATCTTAATATTAAGAATTAATGGCCATTACCTTCCTCCAAAAAGAAAATACTGTACCCCCCAACAAAATAATGCCCATGAAAAAATGATGATATCTGTTCATGGCCATTAAATACATTAATTAATGCCCATTATTGTCATTGAAACGAGAATTAATGGCCATTAAATGTTTTCTCTAATAATTTTATGACTGTAAAAGTCATTTTCATGGCTTTTTTATGGGATAATTCTGAATTTAATGGTCAATCAGTAATGGCCATTACAAATTTCAAACGAGAATTAATGGTCTATTTTAAGGGGTTAGGCCATTTTAATGGGTTTTTAATGGATTTTTAATGGACTTATAATGGTGTGATGGTTTAGTAGTGTAAATAAATATTTTTTAACCCGTCTCTTGCTAGGAGTACTTGCCAACTGGGCCTGTATATAACTTATAACACGATCGAAGAGACGAATATTTTATTTTAAATAATTCATAGCTTGTTGACATAGCTTCCTCAGGTGGATGAATACAAAAACCTATAAATACACCGTATTTCAAAGGGTGGTTAATCCCCTATACATTATTTTGTTGAGTAAATTTTCTCATATACATTTGCTCAAAGGACATGGTTTGTATGAAACGAATGCGGTATACTAATTAATATGTGTATTTATTTTTTATCCGACCATATTATATGACATATTACAATCAATAGATTAACATACTGAAATGAAACATGAACATTTGATGGTATATTGGCCATTTGTATATTTAAAATATGGATGAAAGTGCAAAATTGATGACGTGATACCCATTTTTTGTATTTAATTTTGTTTGAACCTTTTATTTTCCTATTACGCTTTTCGAAGTTCATATAAACATCAATAGTTGATGAAATATCACTAGGTGTATTCTCCGCCTGTTCCGGTGGTGGACAGAAGACTACCTTGGAATATCTGGTCGGAAATCGTCGTCTGAAGATGTTACCGGTCGCCCTTTCCCTTGTCGTCACCTTCGAGTCGTCCATACTTGTCCTGGGATTCCCCGCTGAGACTTACATCTATGGAGGGGATCTTGTCTGGGCGGGTGCCGCATTGATGATAACAATGTTAGTAGCTACACGTGTAGCTGCCCCACTGTTCCACCCGCTCAAGCTTACCAGTGTGTTTGAGGTAAATGTGCCACCGACAATATGGTGTTACTAAACATAGTTTGAGGTAAATGTGACCCCGACAATATGGTGTTACTAAACATAGTTTGAGGTTAATGTGGCCCGGACAATATGGTGTAACTAAACATAGTTTGAGGTAAATGTGACCCCGACATTATGGTGTTACTAAACATAGTTTGAGGTAAATGTGACCCCGACAATATGGTGTTATTAAACATGGTTTGAGGTAAATGTGACCCCGACAATATGGTGTTACGAAACATAGTTTGAGGTAAAGGTGACCCCGACAATATGGTGTTACGTAACATAGTTTAAGGTAAAGGTTACCCCGACAATATGGTGTTACTAAAAATAGTTCGAGGTTAATGTGACCCCGACAATATGGTGTTACGAAACATAGTTTGAGGTAAGTGTGACCCCGACAATATGATGTTACTAGACATAGTTTGAGGTAAAGGTGACCCCGACAATATGGTGTTACTAAACATAGTTTGAGGTAAATGTGAGCCCGACAATATGGTGTTACTAAACATAGTTTGAGGTTAATGTGACCCCGACAATATGGTGTAACTAAACATAGTTTGAGGTAAAGGTGACCCCGACAATATGGTGTCACTAAACATGGTTTGAGGTAAATGTGACCCCGACAATATGGTGTTACGAAACATAGTTTGAGGTAAATGTGACCCCGACAGTATGGTGTTACTAAACATAGTTTGAGGTAAATGTGACCCCGACAATATGGTGTTACTAAACATAGTTTGAGGTAAATGTGACCCCGACGATATGGTGTTACGAAACATAGTTTGAGGTAAAGGTGACCCCGACAATATGGTGTTACTAAAAATAGTTCGAGGTTAATGTGACCCCGACAATATGCTGTTACGAGACATAGTTTGAGGTAAATGTGACCCCGACAATATGGTGTTACTAAACGTAGTTTGAGGTAAATGTGACCCCGACAATATGGTGTTACGAAACATAGTTTGAAGTAAATGTGAACCGGCAATATGGTGTTACTAAACATAGAGAATCATTTGATCATTTAATCCATAATATCATGATTGTTTTATGATTGTTTACTTTTTAAACAAAACTGCAAGGGTTCTAACCAAGTACAACAATAAGGCTGCCATCCAATAAAAACAGTTCGTATAAGCATGGAAACGAAAATATCTGGATGCAAATATTTAACGTTGTAACATTAAATATTAAAATGGTTATACTTTGATATGATTTAATATTTACATTCTGTATGCTGAGACCCATTGACAAAAATTACATTCATAAATGCATAACACAGGTGTTCATAGAATCTCAGCACGTGGGAACTTATAGTAACCTGATCACACTGCGTAGTAATACAAAAACTACTCACTCGGAACGACCGACCTAGATGCTTAATTCTTACATCTTAAAATAAACTTGAATTTTAACCCAAAAAAATGTAAATTTCTGTGTTATTTATGTACTATGGATACATAATTTGCATGCTGTAAATTAATTTTTTTAAAAAGTCCACACCTCAGCGTTAACGGAAGTTACACTGTCGTCTGATCCATCTGTCAAAATGAACGTCCCAAAACAATTTAGCTGTCAGCTGGACGATGAAACAATAACTTTTGAGCTGGAACTACCCGATCACCAAGATATGTCAGACGAGGAAGTAGACAGATTTATTTCTAATCTGGATTTTTCAACCAGTCTTTAGCAACAAGGAGAAATACACAATGGGGATTATCTTTATTCCAAGGTAATAATTCACTTCCCCCCCCCCCCCCTCCATGTTTAAACTGAAGGAAGTTACCGTGCTGTCTCCGCTGATGGTCTTGATGTTGTTGAAAGTTATCTTTCCGTATAACTGCATAATAACAGGTATTAATGCTGATGAAGTAAATTCGGTTGTTGATTTTGAATACACAAGCAATCCAAAGCACTTCATCATTACACAGAAGACATTCTTTTTTTGTAGAGTGGAGCATGGAAACGTCTGGGGAGCATGTCCCATTCAACAGTATACCCACAGAGGAATTGGCAAACAGATTGAGTGCATTCTACTGTGAAGCAAAACCCAAAAAT